CTGAATTTATTAAACTCCTTCAATTATTTCGATAACATGTCAGGCTATAAGTTTTTCCGAAGTTCAATTTATCGCTAAATCAATATGACCGAATACAGTGTTGTATGTCAAACTTGAAAACGCAACAAACAAATTGATAGAGTTGTTATGATACTCGTACAATGGGATAGGTACTTGGATTTGGTAGTAAATCTAAAACATAATAAAACGGAATAAAATTCATTATTAAAAATCCATTATTTTCTTAGAATATGTTGATAGAATATGTAATTACTCCAATCCACTTTGTACGCACTCTCTGCCTCTTTTTTTTTACTATGATGGTATTGGTAGTGTGGAAAGTGTGCATTATTTTGGCGCATCTTTAAATTGGTATCGATTAAAGAGTTTTATATTTTTTTCATAGCTTCACTTCCTGCCACTTTTTGGCTTCCGGTATAAATAAGGCTCTTCATTTTAATTTACTTACCTATAAGTAACGGGTGTTTTTTTTAGAGGTATACAACTTTAAATTGGTTACACTGTTTCTAGTGATATTTAATTTGATAGTTGGTGGTACATTTGTGGACAGTATGTTTTGCCATTTCATAATTAAATAGAATTACTTCAGAACAACGTTTGCAAATTGTGCAAAAATGTATTTTAAAAATCATGGTTCATTTTTCCATACAAACGTCCGTGACGTAATTTTCGTAACTTTTAATTCCTCAGATGAATGATATTAATGTGGCAGAGCTATGGTTTCAACAAGATGGTGTTACCATCCAACCAGCACGCAACACATTCAATTTATTGCAGGAAACATTCGATGAGCGCATAATTTCACGAGATGGATCTTTAAATTTGCCTCCACAATCGTGTGATCTCACACTGGATTATTTTCACTGGGGATATGTGAAGTCCATTACTACGTAGATAAACTACGGAATTCAATGCCAACATTCGTCGCCTTATTGCCGATGTATGGCCCCAATTGCTCAAAAAAGAAAATTGGACATCTCGATTACGCTACATTTGAGCCAACCGTGGCGCCCTTAGGCCCGAAATAATTTTGAAGCATAAATGGCATAAGAACATCTTTTAAACAAAACCAATACCATGTGAATCATACATATTTTTACATATTTTATTTCATTTTAAAGTTGTATACCTCTAAAAAAACACCCTATAGATACAATGCTATCAATGCGATCGAAGGCTTATTGACTTTCTCTCACAATTGAACCCTATCTTAGACTAAACACTCTTTGCTGCTCTATTCTTTGCCTTCTGATTCATTTACATGTCCCAGAAATAAAACACTGTGTTTCTTAAGAAAATCAAAAACAGTTCCATGTTCTAAGATGAGAAGTCATGGTTTCTTTATAATTTTCATCTACTACTAAAAGGCCCAACTATTATAAAAAAATGATCTCGCAAATAAAATGTCAGTACCTAAATGAAACCCTGCTTTTACATACGGATTAATTGATCTTTACATAGTATCTTGAGAAACTATAATTGTAACTATAATTACAAGTGATTCTCAACTTCCTCGTCTTATTGTCTAACACTAGTGAGTATGTAAATAGTGTGCGTCACACTTTGATTATTAATTCAGGTAATCTGAACAAGTTAGATCAAGTTACCTTTATTAAATTGCACCACGCCAATGCACTTTTGCTTGAATGAAAATGTGTAAAAAAACTTTTTTTACTAATTAAAAAAAAGAATTGATGTTGCCCAACAAAAGTTAATGTAAAATTCCAGTAAGGAAATCAGCGTGTTTTTAAAGTGATAAATGTTACTTGTACTGCAACCGAAGTAGTATTGCTGTGTTATAGCGGTGCCTCTTGCCCTTCGAGTATCCACGGAAGACCAGCGTCGTGGTGTCCCTTACGACACCTCGGCCTGATGCTGAGTATATACCGTTTCGGTGACACGCACATTACTTACTCTATCTAGATTTACTTTTGTTTCATATTTTTGATGCTGTTTTGTGTCGCTGAATAAAATATTTCATTTTTAATATTGAAAAATTTCACAATTAATTTGCTTTAACGAATACAAACGGAAAGTATACTCGAAGGTCCGATAACTCTTTCAAAACGCAAACAGCTAGGGACTGGAATTCGCTGCCTGCTGCTGTCTTTCCTGAACACTATAATCCGGGTCTTTTCAAAGCGAGAGTGAATAGGCACTTACAGGGCAGATATTTACCATCCTAGACTGCATCTCACTTAACATCAGGTGTGATTGCGGTCAAATACCTGCCTTGTTTTGCATAAAAAGGTAGGTATACTATACATTTCGTTTAGGTGTCTATTTTAGAGTTGCCACCTACACCACTAAAAGTAGGTTTACAATCTTAGGTATAATAAAACGTCATTGAGCTGTGCTAAGTTTTGTATGACCATGCAATTTTACCATAATAGAACAACCGTGCAATATTTTGGCGTTTAGATTAAAGATAGTAGTCTTTATATTTTTAATACAGTTATTTGGTGTGTGTGTGTGTGTGTGAGTGGTGGCTCAATAGGGCAAAGTTGGTCCTGATTTTCATTTCAGTCGGGTCACTTTAGACTTTGGTAAAATATGCTCGCCTTAGGCTCTACATTAGTTTAGAAAGGAAATAATTATCATAATTACTATCAAGCCAAAACCATACCGAAATTAAAAGTTATTATGTAATGTTGCTAAGACTACTAAAAATAATGTTTCTATGAGCAAAAATAGCGGTGCATAATCAACGGTATTTTCGCGACTTCGTGCGCGTGGATCCCGTTTTACCCCCTTAGGGGTGGAGTTTCGTAAAGTCATTTCTTAGCGGATGCTTACGTCATAACATCTACCTGCATGTCAAATTTCAGCCCGATCCGTCCAGTGGTTTGGGCTGTGCGTTGATAGGTCACTATGTCAGTCACCTTTGAGTTATATAATTATATTTAGACAATGGCTCATAGTCTGTAAGCTAGATTAGATGGTCAGTGATAAAACTGTAAAAAGAAAGAGCTTTCATCGTAGTGACTCAAGCTTCGCTCGCCTCTATGCCTGCTCTTTGTACTTGTCAGCGCATATAGTTGAAGCGTTGTAATTAATTTATGACACGGTTTAATTGATATTTAAAACGAATATATAGTATACAGTATTAGGTAAATTCTAAAATTGTTAGGGTTATTTTTTTTACCCTGTGCGCCCACGCACACTGTGAGACCTCATAGTAATGTTTGTGAATACGGGCGTAAGTTTTCTTTCGTTTTCTACAGAAATTGGAAAATTCTTTTGCACACAAGAAAAAAACACACCACCTTTTCCACGTACTCGTATTCTTGTTACAACTTTTTCGACGTGAATAAAATACAGCAAATACTTTCTATGAGGATATTTTTGGCCGTTATAAGATCGATAAATGTGGAAAAATAAGTCCAAACCTAACGAACTTGATAAATTAAGGCGAATAACACAAAAAAATACAATTTTACATGTTTATGAACACGATATTAAAATTCATTTATGCAATCACGTATAAAATATATTTGCGAAGTTGAACCCTGAATGTCAATATTGATTAACTGATTGTTGTAAGGTTACTGTCTAAATATAGAAAGTTAAATTGTTCGCGGTGTTTTAAATACCTTCTGGCTTTTTCCTTTGGTGAATATTAATACACTGTTTTATTAAGTTTTTAAAGCTTAAAATCTTGTGAAACAATGAAAAACGTTTTTCTTTCTCGGTCCCTCACTGGTAGGGTAAAAAGATTATGAGACATGTAGAGGCTCCTTAAGAGCAAAATATTTGACGATTTGTAAGTACTATTTATTAGTATAAACAAATAAAGAAATTTTAACTTTGACTTTGAGGATCGCGACCACATATAGTGTTCCTCCACAGACTGCGGTCATAAGCTGTGTGGACCGCACCATGTAAAGTTATTCTGATATTAGCTGTCCTACTATGGTAAGGGATACTAATATGCCCAGCAGTGGACTTCTATTGATTTTTTGATAATTTTATAAGTAAACCGGAGAAAAAATAATATATCTCATGGTGTACTTTTGTCGCTACAATGCAATGGGTACATAATAATCACGAATATTCTACCCGGTGATTTGTATTTTAAATTTGGTATAAAACAAAAGTGTTTTACCATGTGCAAAAAAAAATAGTTAATTGGATATTACTTATAGTTACAGAATGAGATTGATCATAATTAAATAACTGCCAATCTAACCAATAGTTAACATTCTTCAAACTGGACTGCAAGCCTGATTATACGAGTAAATGATGGACAAAATGGTAGTTCACAAATTGTTTACATTTTTTCAACAACAATAAANACAATAAGTATGTACTCATTTACATACATTTAAATCCCTTAACCTTTTCTTTGACCCACCAGCCCAATTTAACTAAAGTAAAATCATTAAAATTTAGAAAGTTATGATTTTTATAATTTTATTATGGTGTTCTGTGTAGGCGTCGAAAGTATGTTACTTGACGAAATCTCAAACAAAATGTACTAATGCATAAAAGAGATTTATACTAGTCAACCTAGTAGTAAATACATAGAAATAGTAGATAGAGATGATGGTCAATAATAATATAGTTATGTATTTTGCTTTGCAATACAAAATTAATAAATATTTTTTTATTTCATTTTTTACATACCTTTCAGGGTAATTGTACCTACCTATGTCTAATAGATTCAAAAATATTGTTACCAATATTAATCTGATGTATATGTAGTGCTTAAGGTAGAATAAGATCAATATTTCCAATTTGCATAATTTGCATCAAATGAAGTGAGGCTGTTGAGAAAATCACAGTTGCAGTATTATTGCATCACAGTAAAACAGATTACGATGCACTTCATGGCGTATGCACAAAACGTGAACACCGAAAGATTGCCATAAAACCACGTTTCCTACTTCAGCACAAATTGCAAAACTAGGCCAATTCACACATAGACCATAAACAAAACGTCAAAACTTTCCAATTTAACAATAAAAAGTGGCACTAACCTTCTCTTATTCCAAGAGATGACACAAAATTCCAAATTTAAAAAATTTATTTTTAAATTCACCCGCGATCGTTTTCGGCCAGTAGCCGTTTGTAGAGAGAATGGTCGGCACGTCCTCTCGTTGCAAAGGTCGGATCACGACTGCCGCAGGCTCTGGACAAGCAATGCTCTTGCGCATCTAAGCCTCCGATGAATGAGTTTACGTTCATTGAAACGCCTGAATGCCTGAATCTGCTAATTGGTTGTCGGTGCAATAAGCAAGTTTTTCCTCATAAAAAAGAGGCTTCGTTTTAGATGATGAATGGGTAAATTTACGCGATAAAGGCTCTCTTTTTTGCTATAGAAGGTGAAGGTCAGTAGCGCTGCACAGTTTCAGCTTAATGAAATTATTCTTAGTTTTTTTCTTTTCATAAAGATGATCTACCAGTCGTTTCCAGAACTGCACCAGTATAACCAGGTTCTAGGGCTTGACCAGCTAGAAAACCTTATTAAAGATAGTTCAATTTATTCCAAGGGAACATTAGCCCCGCAAAGAATTGTTTCACTTTTGTGAATATTATGTCATAATAATATGATTACATACATTTATTTACAAAAAATGATTTACCATTTAAATTTTTCAAATATGTAAGTATTGGATTCTTACATTATGTATAGCAATATTTAAATGAAAGTAACTATAAAAAGTTTCGTACTTACTTTATTGATATGAACACTATGGAAAAAGAGTAACATGAAATTAAACATATTTAGCTTCAAGTAAACATAATTTTGCAAGATCTTAATACAGAATGTAAAGAATGTTAAGGTTTGTTTCCAAATAGGGATTATCTTGAAACGTTACTCAGATTTCACAGTCACATCGTCTTTTTGTTCGCAGATGTTCTTCTTGGTTCTTCTACTTCTGTAGCTTCTGCAGTAAAAGTTCATGAAGAGGAAGAAAAAGGTGATGATGCTGGTCATGCAGAAGTAGTGAAAGAAAGCCGGGATCGGGCACGGGGTCAGCTTCTGTTGGTAGTACAGGTGGGAGACGACTAGGATGAACTGCACCTGGAAAAGTAACAAGTAAGAATTACTTTAGATTATTGCCATTAATACAAAATCAACTGTAATTAGATGACTAAAAGATTTGGTTTTTAACTTTGAAGTAAATGAAAACGCCCTCTGCCCTAAGTCAAGAAGAAAAAAAACGCAAAAATGTAAAAACCTGAAATCTGTGAAAATCAAATGAGATTAATAATCACGTTTTAGCTTAGTACCTAGTAGTTTTACTAAGTAGCAAATATTTTACCATATTCTTAAATTATAGCCACCTAATCGACAATATAGGTACGAGTACAAAAAATTTCAATTCCTTTGCCAATAAATAATTTACAGTCAGCATTAATTATAATACTGCTCATAAAAGTTTAGATCTAACAATCAATATAACTTTTTATTTATTCCAGCCTCAACAGCAGACTGATAGAGAACTCATCAGTCAAGTTTCTACAAATTATGCCTTTGCTACACCAAAAACTAAAAAAAACTCACCAGCTGAACCTTAGTGAGGTGCTTCTTCCACCACACAAACTTAGCGTACTCCGGCCCCAGAGCAGCAAGTCCATAGTACGCGTACATCAGTACATGCACAAAGCTGTTCAGTAGCCCAACACAGACGAAGTGGTCTGTGGGATGGTGTAGCAGATGGAGCCACGTCCAAGACACCATGGCGGAGTGATGGTATAGATGGAGGAAGGAGATCTGATTGTCTTTCTTGCGGAGAACGAAGAATACCGTGTCGAGTAAGTCTAGGTGTTTCGCTATGAAGTATGGGTAGATCTCTGTGATCACCTGGGAATGGTAAGGATATAATTATAAGGGCCATTGTTTATCTTTATTTTATTTAGGAGCGATAAGGTCGAACATGTCAGCTCTATCAAGGTCTTCATCTTAGTAGACCTATCATACTTAAAATGTAATGCTATAAATTAAGGAATCATCTTTGTTTCGCTTATTATTAGCTGAATCTCAATCAAATTCTATTATTTTAAAATTTGTAGCGTCAAACCAAAATTTCCTTTACTTTACTATACAACTTAACTCTAATACAAAAGTTTATTAAACTGGTTATAAAAACTTTTGTAATTTAAGTCAATTTAAGCTCACCTCTTGTAAAGCTTCTCCTTTAGGGCATCTCGTAGTTATTATTCCGAAGTTGAACAAATATCTTGCATACTGAAACAAATTTTAAACGCGGCAATCACAATGAAGTGCAAAAACTATAAGGAGAGGATAAAGTGGCCTGTTTTTTTTATTATTTACAAGTTCACCGAGAGTCAGTACATAAATTTGGGAAAGGGCCTTGATGCCATGACAAAGGGACCTTATTCTTAGAGCAATCGACTTAAGAAGTCGAATTTGTAAAGAACGTTGCTCGTAAAATTCATAAAAGCGCTTTTACACGTCCCAATATTAACCCTACCACTCCTTCGGGACAGTAAATGGGCCAGTGCTGAGAAGAAGCAGCGCAAGAAACTCAGTCACTATTGTCAGCCTCCTTTTCAAGGTTTTACAGTCTTTAAAATATACAAATTATAGTCATAACCTATTGATGCGAGCTAGGTAGTTAAACATTCCAAACATTTTTATCTTTTATATAATCATCAACTTTATAGTAACCCTTTTTCATTAAGGTGCTTTTGATATGTGCTTTAAATTTAATGAGTATGTTTCAAATTCAATTAGTATGAGAATAATCTTCATTATTATTCTTATTCTAAGCTTACTGTCTCTACATGCGTAAAAATATTTATCTGACATAAGCTTAATTAACCTTAGGCTGAGTTGCACCACCTTATTTTAACCGTGACTATAACGATAACCGGTGCTTTTTGTAGGGAGATTGACACTTTTTGACGTTTGTCAAAGCTTTATTCATCCCAGCCTTAATCTGCATAAAAATAAGGTGCGACGTGCGGTCCAAAAAGCTTTGTAATATCAAATGCTTGAATTAATATTATTAAATAAATATTCATTCAAGCATTGGACTTTTGACAACTTTTGATAAAACTAATCACAAACATAAATGTATAAGTATTTGAGTGAGTGAAGTGAAGCTGTTTGAGTGAGATTTGTTTCTATTGTCGTTTCAGAATACGAGTCTTTTTGTTACTTAAGCTCTACATTAATGACTAAATGATACGCAAATTCATCGCTAAACGAGTGCGAAACTTTACTACCGGGATAGCCCCCATCCTTTGCTAAAGGTGCTTCAAAAAGAGTCAGTAAAGGGAAAGTGACCGTTCGACAGAATTGGAGCACGAACTTACGCACACATTATTATAAAATGAGTTCAAATCCTGAAGCCGGTTTTGTGAATCATTTTTCGAAAGTGTATCAAGATTCAAGTGCATATTCGCAATTTATGAGTACTCCTATACCGGACGTTGAAAGGCTTCTTTAGTAACTTATATTATTGGCCGATAATTGGATTGTTATGATATACCTAACTCGACCTTTATAAAGGAGTTTTTCATCACCTACTCTTTATGTTTGGTTCAAATGTTAACTGGTTTAGAATTCCATATGATGGCATATGGAATTTGAAACTAAAATTACAAGGTTTTAAGTGATAAATTAACATGGCTTTGAAACGAAACTACTACTTATTTATATGGCTTGGTTTCTGAAACACAAGCCTCTTTTGAAATACATAATTAGTATGAGTGTCATCTCTATAAATTCAATTTTCAGTGTAAAAATATTCTTTTTCGTTCATACTTTTGAAGCATATTAATCCTTCAAGCTNTGCGAAACTCTACTACCGGGATAGCCCCCATCCTTTGCTATAGGTACTTCAAAAAGAGTCAGTAAAGGGAAAGTGACCGTTCGACAGAATTGGAGCACGAACTTACGCACATGATATTATAAAATGAGTTAAAATCCAGAAGCCGGTTTTGTGAATCATTTTTCGAAAGTGTATCAAGATTCAAGTGCATATTCGCAATTTATGAGTACTCCTATACCGGACGTTGAAAGGCTTTTTTAGTAACTTATATTATTCGCCGATAATTGGATTGTTATGATATAACTAACTCGACCTTTATAATAAGGAGTTTTTCATCACTACTCTTTATGTTTGGTTCAAATTTTAATGTTAACTGGCTTAGAATTCCATATTAATATAGAATTCTATTGGTTCTATGTATTTTGCAAAAACTTAGATATGGATGAAATGAAAACTGAAACTGAAATTACAAGGTTAAGGAATGAATTAACATGACTTTGAAACGAAACGACTACTCATTTATACGATTTGGATTTATTTTTTTGAAAACAAGCTTCTTTTGAAATACATAATTGGTATGAGTGTCATCTCTATAAGATTGATTGATTCTCTATAAGAAAATAAAATTTTTCGTTCATAGATTTAAAGCATAATACACTTACTTTTAATATTCTAAAGTACTAAACAATCTAGGTATGTTACATGCGTATTTTAAATGAAATAGCTTTTAGTTTTTAGTAAGATAAAATTAAATTATGTAAAACGCCTTCATATTTTTAAAAGCAACATATCTAATACTCACGATAAAGACCAGGTACACGGAGTAGGCGACTTGGAATCCATTGTAGACGATCAGCACGTTAGTTAGTTTGTACGGCTGTCTTCTTTCCATGTAGGCTGGTAGTAGTTTTACTACAACTAGCAAGTAAATGCCTAGTACCATGAACAGTCCAGTTGTGGTTTCCGAAAACGTCCATGTTGAGATTTCGTCTGGAAAGTTTAAAGAGCCTATTTTACAAAAAGGAAAAAGGGTAGTTTCACACTCACGCTGACCCTATCAGATTATTTAAAGTACCTAAGTAATAAGTAGAAGAAGTAAGCAATAAGTAGTATGTGACTGCACCAGACGCAGACAGTCTGCCAACAGAGAGAGATAGCGGAAGATCGTGCGGAGAGTTGTATCCGCCTCTACAACCGATGCGAACAACGCCTCAACGTGACCACGACCGCTCTGCCAAGAGCGTAACGAATAAGAAGAAGAATAGTAGAAGTTTTAAAAGCTGGTGTCAATGGATTGTACTATCGGCTGCAGTTCCAGTTACCTATTTCCAGTCATATAGTCTTGTTCTATAACAAATCCGGGCCTCTTCAAGGCGAGAGTGAATAAGCATTTACAGGGCAGATATGTACCATCCTAGACTGCATCCCACTTAACATCAGGTGCGATTGTGGTCAAATACCTGCCTTGTTATGCATAAAAAAAAATCACTATTAGATGAGAGCGAGAGAAAAACTGAAATGGGTTGCTTCATCTATGACCTATAGGTGCGTTACAAAATTGCTACCATCTGGTAATCTTCTGTGTAATTGTTTTCATCACCAGATTATAGAACACAGATATATGTATAGGAAATAAGGTTTTTTTAATTTCGTTCCTTAAATTTTTTTAAGTACCTAACAAATCTTCAACACTCAACAAATAAAGAAATTTTTCACTTTGACAAGGGTAGATTCGTTCGTTCGTTCATTCGTTTCTGCCGAAAGACGTCCACTGCTGGACAAAGGCCTCCCCCAAGGATTTCCACAAAGACCGGTCCTGCACCGCTCGCATCCAGGCACCTCCCGCGACCTTCACCAGATCGTCGGGCCACCCAGTGGGAGGCCTGCCCTACGATACGACCCATCATATCAATTACTAAATCATATTTTATGTTTCCCCACTCAAAAACTATGTACAAACTTACCCTTAGCACTTTCGGTAATAATATCTTCCACAATTATTTTATACCCCGCACCCATTTTTTCACTTATCTAATGACTCCACAAGAACTCAGCACTAAATGTTGGAAACTAAAGTAATGAAAATAGAATAAATTACAATTAATTATGGAGCAGTAGGACAATTTCTATTGTATTCAAATGAATTTTAAAATTACAAATATGTAAAGCAAAGGGGATTATAAAGTTTGTCTGTTTATTGAGTGATTAATTATAGGATAATACGTCAACACTAATTGCGGTTAAAATCGGGCTACCAGCCACTAATTACTATTATTAATGGAGTTACCCCTGCAGACCAAGAGCTAAGCCAATTTAGGTTTAGTTTAGCTCATAATAGCTGACGCAGTTTTCCATTGGGTTTGCATTAGAGTGCGGTTTGCACTCGACTATAAAATCTATGTAAAAAACTACGTTAGATATGCGAGCTAAGCTTTTAGCTTAGGTTTTGGTCTACATCCCGTATTAACGTCAAAACTTATGCATCAACTTTCAATGTGGAAATAATTTCATACAAAATTAATAAAAACAAGGAAACCCTTTAAAAGCAATATGTGTCAGTCTCATAGGTAGCCGCCAGACACTAAGAAATGCAAATAGGTTAGAAACTTATGCTAATGCCCTATATTATACCAATATAAATAATCCGTATTCAGACTTCCTTGGTATATCGTCTGGTAATTTAATTTGATATTATAAAACCTATTATAAAATTAATCACGAACAAAGAAAACACAATTTTTCATACAACAAATGGAATTAGCCCAATTTTCTTGGATCTCGAAAAATGGAGGTCATTTTATTTCAATTGATATTGATTTATTCCTTTACTTCTTGATTTACTTCATTCTACTTCGATAAATAGCATGGGCAAATGTAGGTACAAAAATACAAAATACATTTACGTAATTTCATCATCATCATTTCAGCCTCAGAACGTCCACTGCTGAACATAGGCCTCCCCCAATGATTTCCACAATGGCCGGTTGGTGGCGGCCTGCATCCAGCGCCTTCCCGCTACTTTTATGAGGTCGTCGGTACGTAATTTCGCTAGGAAGAATTATCAATCTCTTCCGGAAAACCTGAGGAGAATGCAGTTGTTTCAATAAAAAGAAGGCAAAAAAAGCATAACAAATTCATAAATCACCAAGCACCATAATACGCGCAAAGTCGCCAGAAGTAGGTTTGCTCAAAATGTTGAAAAGGCGGTTCTCTGACTCATGAACGCCTGCTAGGAAACTACTGACACACACAAATTTTAAAAGATTAACTTTACCACGAACTTAATTATCATCGTGCAAACAAAACGTTATTAATTTTAAAATGTCATCTTAAATGAAATGTTTGGAGAATCAATATTTTATTCCATGTGCTATTGACCAAAGAAGTTCTGTGCCTTTTGCTATTTCTTTAGTCTTTTCTACTCTATAGTCTATTTTATTGTGATTTT